AACAGTACAAATACTAGTGAAAAGAACACTGTACCGAAGTAGTTTATATTTGTTGTATGATGCATTTTGAAGGCAGAACTATCTGTTTGACGCTAATATCTTTATTATCCTGGTTTGCTGTGATGCTTTACTGAAGAAGCTACAAGAAGGTGTCGTCTGATCGGGCGGGAAAATGCAATGGGGAAGTTCAGCAGAAGTCACCCAATGCGTTCATGCTGTTTTAACCAGCCAGTGAATGAAAGTTGTGAATAATTTTCTAAAGCGAGTAATCAGTCACAACAAAACAAGTAATTTCCGCGCTCAGCACTTTTGTAGCCGTTAAAAAATAACGATTTGTCACAATGTATAAGCGTTAAGTCAAAGGGAGGGGTGTGAGGAGCAGAGCGGTAGCGTTTGGGGTTTCTGTCGCCTTGCTCCGGAGCGGCCTCTGAATCCAATTCGTCATGTGCTGGTGGCATTGACAGTGGACCATCTGCCCGGGAGAGAAAATTTCATTTAATTGGTATGGACGAGCACGACACATTCCTCCGGCTTGCCACCGTACTCTTCCTCGTTCGGCCCGAAAAAGCTTCGGGAAGAGGCGCGCGTTACACGTGGAGTATGCGCAAGGATCGGCCGGCCGACTGGTCTCAAATGAAAAAACATCGTCGGTTTATTCCGTACAGCGATTGCGCAAAGTTCCCGTTCCAAATAGGTGCCGCTGCGTGGTTGCGCAACTGATCCATGAAATAACTCAGAAGAACCGAGTTGTGAAGTGTTTATAGACAGATTAATTAGTACTACATTGATATTGTATTCGTAAAGGATTTGCTCGGGTCCGTGAAGCGGATCCAAGCATCCTCTGTCGCGGCTTTTAGTCTTTGCTAATCATCTTTAAGCCGACTTCTTCAGTTCACTGAGAAAATCGTGACCCCTGCTTTTTAGCTCTATTTCGATACACATTCAAATTCTCATTTGCTCCAACTCTGATTTGCCAGCTATTAACTGCTGCTATTTTTGCTTAGAGCATAGCGCTCCATCCAGATTTCTGAAGAAAAAAAAAATAAAACCACGTAGTGTTCGCGCACTTCTCCTTTCTGCCTATTTTTCCCACTGTATTCTGGACCAGAATGATTTTCAAAAGTCGAAGACTAATTATGAAACTAGTCCAGCTAATTCACCAGTGTTAAATTAACTTCTTAAGACTGTGTATAACCTTTGTGAATAATAGGATAGGCATTCTTCTTCCAGGAGACTCACAGAAAATTTTTATTTCGCGATAGAAATTAGTCATACTTTCTAATTTTTATTTACCATTAGTAAGCAAAATTCCTCGTCCCTCTCTCGTTGCTCTTCCTGTTCCTTTCTTTTCTCTGTGTGTTCCCTGCTAGATTTCAAAGATTCTGTCTGCACACTTTCATCAAATCAGCTCAAAAAAAGTCGGTATAATCATAATTCTAAGGAATTAGTTTTCCATGGATTTGTTATAATGATGATAATCGTACAGATCAAAGCACAGTATTAATGGTAATGACGATGATGCTGAAGACGATGTTGACAGTGATTGTGGTGGCAGTAGTGAGAATGGTGCGTTGGGCGCAGATCTGTTTCAGTGATAACAGCTTCTTCCCCTACCCCATCCAATTTTTGCTTTCTCTCCAGAACCTACTCGAAGAGCATTGCTTTCGGGTGTTCCACGATTTTTTTTTATTGAACATTATAAACAAGCACTGTACAGCAGACTTTGCGTCCGCTTCTGCCAGAATCACAGGATCACCACTTCGCTTCAGTGCAGCACGATTGATGCGCGGGTTGAGTTATTAATAGCAGCATTAAGCAATTTTGAACTTTACAAACTTTTCGCCAGCTGAATAGCGCGGTGAAAAATAGTAGCTGCTGTTGTGCAGCAGGTGAAGAGTTCTGTACCGATGGGTCAACTAGTCCTCCTGCAACCCGTTCACTTGTTTCATTGGTAAATTGGTACTGCTTACACGAAGTTATCAATTTATCAATTGATAACTCGTAAGTTATCAATTTACACGAAAAAAACTCCGCTGATAACTTCGTTGGTAAGTTATCAATTTACACGAAAAAAATTTTGGCGGGCTAAAATTTTTTTCGTGTAAATTGATAACTCAATTACCTGAGAAGCTAAAGGAATGTAATTTTAAGAG